ATTTTTGTTAAATCTGGTTTCAATAAGGGCTCTGCAGAGAATACCACACACAATATAGGTTACTTTTTTACTATTACTAGCTTAATGTTACAGAATTAGTTTTGCTTGACCTGATAGTATAGGTCTACCTACCCATAAACCTTTTTTTTTTTTTTTTTGATTGAACTTCCTTCCTTAAAACTGGTTGGCAAATTATTCCGATTTTTTGCTCCGGTAAATGAAAGAGTAAATGTATGCATAGAGGTATGGAAGCATTGATGCATGTATGCATCAATGGATGGATTCATGGGTGCACGGACCCATGGATGCTTTCAGATAGTTAGATTTGCTGTCGTAGTTTGCGTTTTCAAAAAATCTGATTTTAGTTAAACTACCGAGCTGCTGACAAAGGGGAGGCCCGACTATAGCTACGTAGGAAATTAAAACGCCTAATAAAAAGGTGTGCTATACATAAGTAGTAGAAACACATTGGATTGTTTCTTGTATATAGCAGCGATACGGTGACGGAACTTCAAATCAGTCTCCTTTTACTTTACAGATCAACGGATTTGCTTGTGTCTGTCCTAATGGATTGACAGGTCTGCAATGCGAAGTTAATATTGACGACTGCAAATCCAGTCCGTGTGCAAATAATGGCGCGTGCTCAGATCTAGTGGCAAATTACACCTGTTCCTGTCCAGAGGGCTTCAACGGCTATAACTGTGAAAACCGCATTGACCACTGCAAAGAAACTAACTGCAGTCGAAATGGCTTCTGCGTTAACTCTCATAACTATTTTTACTGCAATTGTAGCGCTGGCTACTTCGGAGATTACTGCGAATTGGAAATAAACGAGTGTTTACCAAGGCCGTGTTTTAACAACGGAACCTGCCACGATGCGGTCAATAATCTCACTTGTTCATGTGCTGATGGGTATACTGGAAGGTACTGTGAGCTTAACATAGACGACTGTGTCAATGCCTCGTGTCAAAATGGCGCTTTTTGTGTTGACCATATTCTCGGGTATTCTTGTCTGTGCCCCGCGGGATACAATGGAACCTACTGCCAAACCGAGATCGACGAATGTGAATCGAACCCGTGTATCAACAATGGTACCTGCATCGATCTGACACCAGGGTACAAGTGTGAATGTTTGAGTCCGTTTACTGGTGAGAAATGCCAAAACGTTACAGACGTCTGTCTATCAATGCCTTGCCTCAATAGCGGTACGTGTAGGTCTTATAATTACTCAGAAGACTTCAGCTGTACGTGCAAAGCCGGCTTCACCGGAGAAAAATGTGAGGTGGACATCGACGACTGTGCTTCAGAGCCTTGCATGCCAAACGCGTATTGTCAGGATATGATGAATAGTTACAGCTGTGAATGCTACCCCTCTTACTCTGGAGACAACTGTGACATCTGTAAGTTAGTAATTCTGATAGTTCTTTATTATTAAAACGGATGAAATGGGAAATACCATAGATAGAAAATACTTGAGTTGACCCTTGGAGGTCCATTCAAATCGAAACTCTTACCTAAACAACGGTACAGGTGGAAAGACGTAGGATGAGACTTTCCCTCAGATTTATTTATTTGTTTTTGTTTTTGTTTTTTTTTTTTCTGAGGGGAAGGAGGTGGTAATAAGACGTACAAACCCCTTTTTGCGTTTAATAGATGGCACTTAGCTCTCCAGGATACCAATGTTTATATGTTGACTATGACGTCGTCATCATTGATTTCATTATTTTCTGTAAAGGTCAGAAAAAAAGGTTCGTTGCAGGATAATTTACTCAAAGGAAATATGCAATATAATTCTGCAATGCTGCTCAGAAAACTAGTAAAATGGCTGATTCTATCACAAAGATGCACTTGCAAAATGCATTTATTATGGCATGTCAAAAAACGAAGCCAAATATTAGCAACATCAAAATTTCCATAAGTTTGGAATAAGAAGCTACTAAAAGCGACTGAGAGTAAATATATCATCTTCATAAACTCTGAGAAAGTTGCTGACGGGCAGTGGACTCGTGTGCGAGAGGGAAAGAGAGAGAGAGAGAGGGTGGGGGGGCGGTACTTCATACGACGGCATTAGCAGCAAAGCAAGCTGTATTTTTAAATTTCTCTTTAATCTACAGCGTCCTTAACAAAGTATTATAAAGTGGCTCGGCCATTTAAAATGGCAACATTTTCATAAGAATAGTAGCAAGTCTATAATTAAAAACAATAAAGTATAGCGGATCTCTTCACCCACTTCGCGAATTCTTCATTTCAATGAGCTGTCCGAAAATGGAGCCTAAGAAATGTAAGAAATGTATCTGACTAGACAAACTGTTGTTATGTAGCAGTTAGTCATTCACACCTTTCTTATATATATAGGGTGAACACTGCTTCCCTTCCCTGTACCATTTAATTGAAGAACTCTTCAAATACTAGGATGAGTTAGTCCTTAAGTACGTTACTTTTAGATGTTTCGAAAGGGTCCTTGAAATACCTGAATGAAAGTTTCCCCTGACCTATCTTCACTTCGACTCGTCAACCACCTTTTTATATCCCTTTGCCCATGAAATGCATGAAATGATAACGCTTTCGAGAGGAACCGCTGCAAATTATATTTTAAGTTCATTGTAGGGAATGTTTCACAACGGAGGGAATATCCTAACATTCGTTTTCTTACTTTGTCTGCAGTTCTCGGCAGTGACTTTGATCTCATTTTCAAACGCAAAAGCACAGATGACATGATTTTGCTATCAGATGGCAAAGGTCTTCCAAACATGGATTCTTTCACAATCGCCCTATATCTTCGTGCAGACTCCAGATACAATTTTGGAACATTGTTCAGCTACAGTGTGCCTGAGCAACCAAACCACATCATCGTGCTTTCCTTTACCAAGTCTCAAGTTCAGCTGGAGATTAAAGATAGCATAGTAAGCGCAGACTTTAAGTTAACAGACGATCACTGGCATTTCTTGGGAGTCGTGTGGCAGGCGATAACTGGGACTGTCTCGGTGTACGTTGATAGGGCAGAAATAAAAAAGGCAAGAAACGTCAAGACCAACGATACGATCATTGGCGGAGGGTGGGTTGTACTTGGCCAGCGATATCTCGCAGAGGTAAAGATGTCAACCCTTTCAACAGCTTTTGCCGGCACCATGCATCAAGTAAACTTTTGGAATGTTCCAGCAAGTCCTTTAGACATGTGGAACGCGGATCATAACTGCACGTGGCCCATCGCAGGAAGTCTGCGTGCATGGAGCAACTTTCTCTTCGGAGTCAAAGGACATGTAGAAAAACGATTCATGACACAGTGTAAAGGTACTTAGCATTCTTGGTACAGTCCTATTTAAGTCATTTACTTTACAATCTTCGAGTGAATTCATCTCTATTTAATTGAACTGTAATAACGTGAATCAGCTGTCGCGTTGTTATCAGTATTATGTCAATTATGAAAGTTGGAGATATAGACTTTCAATAGCGCGCAACAAAATTGTGTTAATTTTTGAAATGAAATAGCAGTAAATGAATTAGGGACACAACTGATGGTCAATGGATTAAGGTGACATATATTTTGCCGGTGATATAGTTTCTGTCACATACTTTGATCACCACTTTAAATATCAGCGGTTTCGTTTAGTTTGTGCTTCGATGTTTAGAATTTTCGTTTCTTTTGTACAGCAAACACTCGCCTTATTGATGGATATTTTTTGTTAACATTTTGTACCGGGATTGACTACATATTCACCATGTACACGCACGCGTACATGGCTAGGCCAATTTGTATTGCATTCATCTTAATTGTAAGGAGATTGTTTTATCATCACTTTCAAAACTAGAACACCATGGGCGTGGCCAGGATTTTTCAAAGGGGAGAGGGGTCACACTATGTAAATGTGAGGGTACTCACCAGATTGTCCTGTCGTTTTCGAAACCTGTTGTAGGTTACAAAAGGAGGCGTCACGGGCACCCAAGGACCCCCCTAGCTACGGTTCTGCACACCACATAATATTTTGTAACCTGTTAGTTACCTGTTTGCCTTCCTAACTTTTTAACAGTGGCAATAAAAGACAGCTACCATAGTCTGTCGCTTCCACTTCAATCGTCGAAAATGTCCATGTATAGGCAAATCTGATACATGTAAGTTTGAATGACGGCAGAACGCCCGCTAAAAAAGTTGCTCTTGCTTCAAAGGTGTACATACAATAGCCACACTGTTTATTTTTTTCACTTGTTCAGTTATTTCCTGACATAGACCGATCATGTATCACGATTACGTTGGGGAAACAAAATTGCGTATTAGAAAACTTTGGACTACAAAAAGTACCTGCCGCAAATGCTTGTAATAGCCGACGACTTTGATTCGGTGCCTGCTTATTTTAAAAACCTGGATGAGTTTGCTTTTAATTCTATATCCTTGTTCGAGGGTCTTTTCCGTGGGTTTTCCGGTTTTTCTACCGCCACAAAATCCAACACTCCCTAGTCTTATTGGAACACTTTGTAATGAGTTCCTGAGAGCTTTTCCGTATTGCAGTTTACATTTATATTTAACATAGACGGTAGCTCAGTTCATTTCAGTCACCGCAAGAGTACATCGATTTTCATACTATCCTAGAAACGAAAGAAAAACCAACAGTTTATAACGTTTTACAACTTTGCTTTGCAGCGTTTGACAGGTGCACTGCCAACTGCTCTCACTTCCTCCGATGCGAGTTTCATGAGAACGAATACAACTGTAGTTGTCAACCCGGATTTTCAGGAACCGACTGTAACATTAATATTGATGACTGCAGCTCAAATCCATGCGTCAATGGGAAGTGTGTCGACGGTGTGAATCGCTATGACTGCGAGTGCAGCAAAGGCTATTGGGGAGTAAATTGTGAAAAGAAAATCATCAATGAAGGAGGTATGATGGTTACAGAAGTTATCAGTCTATAGCACAATGATGAAAGAAATCTATGAATTTGTTCATCTGTTGGGTAAGCATGACACATTTTTTTCATGAGAGTCCAAGAGGACCTAAGAGAATAAATTAATTTGAATTTTAAGAAGTGGTCTGCTACCAGGGTCTTAAACTCTTTGCCTTATTATTTTAAGACGACTTACGTTCAGTTCTCTACATTTTGTTGACCTAACATACATTCGAGAGACAAGGAGACAACTCTCTAAACAACTTACGAATTGCGATATTTTAAGAGCACCGTCCTCAGCAGGTAGCCATATCTTAACTTTTTCAACCTATCTTGTATTTACACTAAATGCATTATTTTGCATGATTGTATGGAAAGCAACGAAACTTTTCTTGAACACTTGTAAAGAAAGCTCTTATAAATTTCATTGCGGAAGAACACAAGGACACCACTAACGGCGTGTTATCTGAACTCTACAGAGTGTCCGGAATTGAGAGAGCCCGTCAATGGAAAAAAATCTTGCCAAAAAGTTGCTGGAGCGATTTCCTGTACTATGAACTGCGATGAAGGTCACTCTTTCAGTGCTGAGGCAGTGACTACCTTTGTCTGCGGCCCTGACACAGAGTGGACCTGGAATGGCATCATGGATATGACTATACCAACCTGCTTAAGTGCGTATTAATAACTGATCAAACAACGCACTATAGTTCTTAATTAATAACTGAAGAAATCGATTTATCTCCTAACTATCATCAGAAAAAGTTGCTCCCTGGGTAACATGGCCTGATTTGCAATCCCAGTCAAGTCGCGAGAAATAAAAACCTGCTGTACCCAGGGCAATGTTCGGTAAACTGCCTGACTAGATTTCGTGCTTAAAAGTTGGAAGGTCGGTTACTTGTACCAGCACAAAATATTTGAGGTACTGTTCCACAGAAGAGAAACGAAAAGTTCCTGGCATGATAAAATGTGAGTTCAGCTTTACTTTCACAGACCGTTCCTTTGTTTCTGCAAAACATCAAAAATACAGAGCGACATGGAAGTAACTATTAGTAGGCCAAATTACTCTTTGCGATATTTCCGTAAATTATATTTTGTAAATTGAAATAAAATCTCGAAAAGCCAATATTCTAATGGAAGCCATCAGTCACTGAGTTTCAAAAACAGTTCAATTCTCCAGTTTATAAGTGTTATTCAAATTGACAATTATAACTCACTTTCTACCACAGAAAATGCCGCGCCCAAGGAAATAGAACATCACTTCTCGGTTGATTTTCCTGGAATGAAATGCGAGGACATCCAGAGTCACGACGAGTTACGCTCGGCACTCAAGAAGAGATTAAGCAACACACTTTCAACACTCTCTGGATGTCACTCATGTAACTTAAAGACCGTCGCAGTTCCTGGATGTGAATCGAAAGCCAATCAAAGGTCAAAACGAGCAGTCGACACAAACGTTAAAGTTCTATTTTCAATGGTGTTGTTTAAGGATATTAATTCGTCCTCATCAGAAGGCAATGTCGAAGAAAAAAGTGAAGAAGTGTTGTTTCAGATGCAGTATGCCGTTGCTGCTGGACAGTTCACGATAAGCTTACATGGAATAAACACCACTGCTCAGAGGTCTTCACTAAAATATCTCTTCTCTAAGGTTACTTGCAGTGTTGGCTCTGTCCCAAGCAATAATGGAAAGAGATGTGGTGAGTATTTAGTAGTAAGTTTATTTATTTATTTATTTATTTGTTTATTTATTTTATTTAATTATTTATGTATTTATTTATTCATTTAGTTAGGTATTGATTTATCTATCCATTTATTTCTTTCTTTCTTTATTTTTACGTTACGACTCAAAAGAAGACACACTGCTAATGGCTTTATTTCTCAGCTCATTACCTGACGGTGGCGAGTTCAGTTTGATGAAATGAGACAACAGCCCTGCTGGGATTAATTTGCCACGATTGTGGCAAATTAACACTTATCCCATAAACACTTATCCTGTCACGTCATGAAGTGATGACAGTAACAACGAACATTCATGAAAAGTGGGGAGAACTAGAACGCTGATGACATAAGTGTGAATTGGATATAGGCATAAGTAAAAAAAAAAAAAAAATAGGGGTAGGGCCAATGTTAAGAAGGGGCGGGAGAGGGTTAAAACTTCTGACAGCTACGAGCAGCGACGTTTACGCTCAGCAGCTAGGAGCAAAGAGAGGACCTCTCTTTGGCGACACACCTTTATATTCAAATGAATATATTTATTTGCATTCTTCATCATTTACGCGTGTATTACAAACTCACAAAGTGACCAGCTCGGAGATGGCTTGATAGCTCAGTTGGTAGAGCACTGCACCGGTATCGCAGAGGTCATGCGTTCGAATCCCGTTCAGGCCTGAATATTTGTGTGTGTGTGTGTGTGTGTGTGTGTGTGTGT